AATTATATTAAATTATATTAAAAAAATAAATAAAGCACCCAATTTTAGTTTTGTTTTTGTCAAATGCTTGTGTTTTAATAGCTATAATGCAAATTAAATATCTCAAGGTGTAACAGTTTGAGCTGTGTTGGGTTTCTTGTTCCAATTATTCTTGTAAATAATTTACACCTTCCTGAAATCATTGAAGTTATAACCTCTGAGTATAACACCACCTGCATTGCATTAATGAAATATTTTCAATAAAGGCCTATAAACTATTAATTTTTCCTTGGGATAACTCAAATGACTCTGAATAAGGAGCCAGACAAAGCATGTGAAGCAAAAGCAGAAATCTGATGTTCTGTTTTAGGAGTCATTATCCTCAAAATTCAAATATATTGTCCTCCCTGGGCAATTTCAGTTGTGTATTTTGCTTTTCCTCTGGATTTTGCTACACTAGATCCAGATGGTTGTTCTGGTAAAAAAAATGTGTGCTGCAAAGCAAAGCCTTTGTGCACAATACTTTTAATTTCCATCATTTAATCTTCTTTTCTAGTCTTTCCAACAATTGAAATGCAGGTATTGCTCTAGCAGAAGTTGTCTTGTTACTCTCCAAAAATCCCATTTAAATTGGCATCTCCTGTAAAGATTAATTTTAATTTTATTTTTAAAGGAGGATGCTGTTTGCCATGTATAAAATATAAAATAATATATATATAAAATATAAAAATATCTTAAATTATTTATCCAGTGGCTGCGACAATTGGGAAGGTGAGGCTGCCTCATATCTATTTAACCAGTTTAAACACTGCTTTGTTAATAGTTGTCTGTAGTAAGAAGTGGTTTATTGCTTTACAACTGGTGTAAAATGCAAGAGAAGGGTGTAAAATAAAACAAAGTCTTTAAAATAAGTTTCAATTTAGGTATTTTTAAATGTTTTTAGCTGTACCACGATGTTTGCAGTAGCTGGTGGAGGAACAGTTTCATAAATCCAGTAAGAAGATGATCTACTTTTGCTTTTCCTAGTAATTTTTAGAATTGAAATACACTATTACATTGCTTTTTGCTACTAAAAAGAAACCCAGCTCTGTTCCAGCTAAAAACCAGGACAAATATTTTAAATTATATAACTTTAAATTGAAATTTTAAAAAGCCAAGAAGAAGGTGATCTACTTTTGCTTTTCCTAGTAATTTTTAGAATTGAAATATACTATTACATTGCTTTAATATTTTAAAATATATAAATTTAAATCAAAAGTTTTAAAAGGCAAAAGTATTTACTTGTAATAATATTATTTTTCGTGGGCTGTCAAGCTTGAAACTTGTAAAATCTTCCAGGAATGGTTGGAACTGTAATTCTGGAGGATATTTCAGCTGTATATGAATTTTATTTACGTAGCTCTAAAACTTGCAGCTTCTTGGTACCTAAAAAGAGAGAAATACCTTAAAAATAATTCATTTCAGACTCTTTTTTTTTTAATCTAACCATGTAGTCATGTTTGGCACGACCTACTCATTAGATATTTGAGCAGTACAGTGAATTCTGTGTTTGGAAAAATATTTCCTATACCATTTCCAATCTACACATTCTTGAAACTACTTGATTTTTTTCCCTTCTAAATTATGACTAGGGCAGGAAAACACAAAGTAGATGCAATATTTTTTATTTCAATCAATTTTTTTTTTTAAATAAGCTAAAATTAATCATGAAATCTCCAACTCTTGGTCAATTTTAATTTACTAATTACTGGAGTTTTAAAGAAAAATGAATTTATAGCTTTTCAGCCAGCTCCATCTGCTGGTTTTCTAGTAGTAAAACATAAATAGGTGTGAGCAATGACCTCTAAAAATACTCAAGAATTGGGACATCTTGCTAATTTTTAGCCTCTTTTCTCAAATCAGTGCCTAGTTGAGAATAACTAATGATTAATTAAGAGCTAATCTACTAAATTGGAAAAAGATCTTCTACATTATCAGGGATTTGAACAAAACTTTGGGGGTTTTTTGGGGGTTTGGGGTTGGGTTTTTTGGTTTGTTTTTTTTTTTTTCACATAATCCCAGAATTGCTTCGTTTGGAAAAGACCTTTAAGATCATCAAGTCCAATTATTAATCTCACACTAACAAGTCCCTGATTAAACCATGTCCCTCAACATTTTATCTACACAACTATAAAAAAAAAATACACATTTTTACTGCCAGTTGTCTTCAAAAGCGAAATTTGAAATGCTTTTATTTTTAAATAGTGTCGTGCAGAATATTTGTCAGAACAGCAGAAATATTTTAGGAGGAAGCTTCTTTGTCTTTGGAAACTGGATGTATTAAGGCAGTTAATTTTTTTGAGTTAAAAATTTACAGTGAAGGAAAAAAAAAAATCATATTAAAATGCTCTTTATCATGAATAATAACGGCACGATAACTTTCGACAACCCTTAAATTACTTAAGCCATGACTAAAATCTTGATAATATGCATTTAGTTTTGTTGCAACTACATTGTTGTGCTTATTTTTTTAATGCTGCCACTCTTGGGAAGATGAGGACAAGGAAACCTTCCTGCCCAGTAGAAAAAGTATGGGTAGATAAACACAAATACGATGAAGCTGAGAGATTACATTACGAAAGAGAAGCGATGTTGGCTGCTGCCGCTGCTGCTCCGGAGGAATGCCAAGAGGTAGAAGCTGTCAATGGAATTTGCAATGATGATTCCTCAGTTGAAAGTGAATTTAAAGGAGATTCGAAGAAAGGAAAGAATGGAAAGAAACAAAGGAAACGAAAACGTTCTCCAAAACCTAAAAATATGGCTTCTAAATTAGACTCTGTCCTGACTGGTTTGTTAGCTGACCACGTGTGGTTTGACAAACCTCTCTATGATCGTGCTGAGAGCGAGTACAGGAAAAAACTGGTGGATTCTCAGCTGGAGGAGACATGTGAGACTCCACTGACTTCTGAGCAGTCCCCTTTAGTGGCAGAATCAAAAGCTGTCCAAGATATTCCCAAGTCAAGGATGCTTTCAGCAGCCCTACCCTGCTCCCATGGTCATCTCTCCGCCTGTCACCACGTTGTTCAGGGTGTTTGGGTCAACAAGTTTGACTTTGATAAAGCTGAGGAGGCTTTTATTGAAAAATCTCAGTTCTTTCTTCCTCCAAATGTCCTGCCCATCCCATCTGTGGGGTCAAATGTTGGCAACGTTGGGTTGAGAACACCAGATGAGGGTTATGTTACAGCTCTGCCTACTCCTGCTACTCCAAGTTTAGCTCCAGATGTCGTTGCTGATTCTGCTTCTTCCGTTGTTACCGATTCACCCGACTCCACACACCAGACGGTGAATGGTAAACCTCAGATTTCAAGCTTGCAGGCTCTCATGTCAGAGGTGTGGTTAGAGAAACCTTTTTATGATGATGCTGAGAAGAGCTTCTACGAGAACATGTTTGATGGTCATCCATCGGGCGAAAACAGACAACAGGAACACAGCTGCCACGAAGCATTGAAGAACCACCACCAGGATGAGAAGGACCTGGAAAGCAAAGACCTTGGAAACATTGGAAAGCAAGAGAACATCCAAAACGTGGAGATTACCACCAACTCTTTGCTTTCCAGTGATGATGAGCAACCTCCACCTACCTGCTTTTTTCTCCACGAGGACAGTGAAACCGTGTGGCTTCATAAACCCACGTACGACAGAGCTGAGTCGCGATACTACGCAGCCGAGGCTCTGAAAATGGCAAGAGCAAGAGAGGGAACACAGGAATCTGAAGTAGTAAAACCTTCCCAACCAACTGCTTATGCTTCAAACCTACCTACACCAGAAACAAAGTAGGAGAAGTTTATTTTGGGGGTAACACACACGTGCAAAAGTGCTGGGTCAGGATTGAACTGAAAGAATTTGCATGTGTAGAAGACAAGAGTCTGTCTGGTTTTTTTTCCTGCAGGACCAAGTGTGTGTGTAGCTGTAGGGAAAGCTTCTCCTGAGCCAGGGAACCTGTTTGTGGGCAGGGTAACTGGGGGAAACTCAAGAATTCCCCTTCTTTTAGTGAATGTTGGTGGCTAAAGGTGATATTTGTGTGGTGCCAAGAGGTTTTAAGGGTTTAAAGTCAGGGCTGGGAGGTGAGCTAAGGTTTGATCCCATCTTTACATGTGGGGAGCCTGGGGCTGTGCTCCTTTCTGTATTCCTGTACAGAAAGCCATAAAAGTGAGAAGTTGGAGGGAGTAATTACATGTTTTAAACAGAATTTGAGAAATTAGTGCTGTTTTTCCTCTTAAAATGCCCCAAGGTCCTTCAGAGAAGCGTTAATCCCCAATTCTCCTGCAGAAGCACCTAAGCTGGTCGTTGAGCTCTGTGCAAGTCCTGACTAAATGCATTTGAGTATCACTTCCAGCTTGGGGATGGTGGCAGAAGACAATTTAGCTCATCAATCTGGCGTCAGCATGTGCTGTATTTGTTGTATTTCTTTTTGAGGGAGTTGCCTAATTATTCAGTCTGGAAGCTGCTGTTAATTTTGGGACAGTTCTAGCTCGTTTGATGTGCGTGTAGCTGGGCAGGAAGAGTTCAATTCTCAAATTAGAAATGACTTTCATAGTTTTTGACAGGCTGAAAGAGTTGGGGCTGTTCAGCCTGGAGAAGAGAAGGCTCCAGGGAGACCTTCTAGTGACCTCCCAGTACCTGAAGGGGCTCCAGGAAGGCTGGGGAGGGACTTTGGCCAAGGGCAGGGAGTGAGAGAACAAGGGGAAATGGGTTTAAGCTGAAAGAGGGGAGGTTTAGATGAGATATTAGGAAGAAGTTCTTCACTGTGAGGGTGGTCAGACACTGGAACAGGTTACCCAAGGAAGTTGTGGATGCCCCCTCCCTGGAAGTGTTCAAGGCCAGGCTGGATGAGGCTTTGAGCAACCTGGTCTAGTGGAAGGTGTCCCTGCTGCTGGCAGGGGGGTTGGAACTGGATGATCTTTAAGGTCCCTTCCAACCCAAACCAGTCTATGATTTTTTAACTTGCATTTATCAATTGATTTCTAGACAAAGACATTTTAAAAACTTGCTTTTAAAGTCCTGGATGAGGTGCAGTATGGTACCACGCTTTAAAAATCTGCTTTTCTGTCCGACTACCTGAGCCCTGAAGTCTCCTGTAACGCCCTGGGAGCCTGTCTGAAGGCCAGTGCATAGATATTATTTTGCAGTGACTGATATTTCTTGGGGAAAAAAAGGTTCTTGGAGCATCAATCCTTATTTCTTGACACTTTTTGATCCTTGAATTTCTTAGGATTTGATGGAAAGCTTTAAGATCTTTACATCAAGTGATATAGGGGGGTACAGACAAGCTTGAGAGCACACATACCTTTCACCCTGTCCTATTTGGGATAATTTTCTCTTTAGCTGAACAGAACTAGATATTTGGTCATGTCATTCACCCTTCTCCAGGAAAGTCCATGTCTCATTGTAAAATATGTGGCATAAATTTGTCTGTAACTGGAATTATCTGTTAAAAAAAAACCTGGTTGGCAGCTCAAGCAGAGTCTTGAAGGTTTGAGTGCTGGGGAATGGCTTCACTCTAGGGAACCTGGATGGTGTGGTGGCCTCTGGTCTCTTCTGAATGGGTAGGTGAGGAGGTGTTTTACAAAAGACTCATCTGTTGGCTTCCATGGATGTGTTTTTTACTGGAGAGCTGTGGGATTTTGAGATGATGAAGGGTTTGTAGGTTGCTGTTAGTTGCTCTCTCTTGTGTTGTGTGGTAGAACCTGGTGATGGTTTGGTTTTATTGTGATGCTCTGTCCTTGTTCTCACTACCTCCTCAAACTGCTCTGGGCTCTTTTATCTGTCCCTTGGCTTGAAATAAGGGCACAACCTCATATTATTGTAAAGGCTCCATCGTTTGCCTTCAGAATTAAGAAATTAAACAACTTTTGGAAGTTGCTGCACTGAAGAAAAATAACTTTCACCATTTCACAGCAGCGTTAGGACATTTTATGCTGTTCCTCCTTGTAGTCATAAGTATCCATCCCTCACACATGTTGCATCACTGATTATTTTAATTTCTAAACAATTTGCAGCAGCATCCAAAAGGACTTTTGTAAATTGTGTGTGTATCTGGATTCCTGAAGGTTGGTCACTGTTGATACCAGGTGATACACTGTGCCAGGTTGTTCCTTACCAGGAGGATTTGGTGGTACATCCAGTGAAGCATCACGTATTCTTCAGTCTTTGGTTTCACCGTGGCTGGGTGTCTTAAGAATTAAAAGCATTTTTTGATTCTCATACACAAACCATCTTCTAACATCTAGAAAATCCTTCTCTGAAAGCTTTTTTTGATTCTCATACACAAACCATCTTCTAACATCTAGAAAATCCTTCTCTGAAAGCTTTTTTTGATTCTCATACACAAACCATCTTCTAACATCTAGAAAATCCTTCTCTGAAAGCTTTTTTTGATTCTCATACACAAACCATCTTCTAACATCTAGAAAATCCTTCTCTGAAAGCTTTTTTTGATTCCCTTCTCTGAAAGCTTTTTTTTTGGTAGAAGAAGGTACAGATCAGCTGCTTTATTCCCTCCCTGTGTGGTGTTCTGTCACTACATGCAGGTCAGGCCAGGCAGATGGGTGGGTGATTAGATTGTCCTGCTTTCTTAATAGGATCCTGTTTACTTAAAGCTCTTCACTGGAGGAGAAACCACCAAGCAGAGAGCTGCAGGCACAGCTCTATGGGGGAAGAAAACACTCTTCTGACAAGCTCATTGCAAGCTGCAAACCTTAAATACTTTTAGGAACTCACTTTGGGTTTGTTTTGGGTTTTTTTTTTTATTCCTTTCTGCAGAAAAATGGAAGTCAACTACTTCCTGCACGAGAAGATCTGGTTTGACAAATACAAGTATGACGACGCTGAGAGAAGATTCTATGAGCAGATGAACGGGCCGGTTGGCAGCTCTTCAAGCCAGCAGGTAACACTTCTTCTCAGATGAGATTTAACACAGTGCTGGAGCTTTTAAGAGCTCATACAGAGCAGGTGAAAGGACATGATCCACCTGCATGTGGATTTCTGTGTTATTTCCACAAGTGGAAGAGTCTTTTCTGAGGTTCTCTAAACCTGCCCCCAGTTATGACTCCTTTTATCTTTTGAAACACCCATCATCTTTGGCCTGTGAAGAATTTCTCCAGTACAACCAGCGTACTGGGAGATCAGACACCCTTGTAACAACAGGTGAACCAGTTACAGGTTGCAGCAGTTAATCTTTTTAAGCTGTTCTGACAGGACATGGATGCTATCTGTCATCTAAAGGGGACACAGTTTGAGCTGTAAACCTGAGAGCTGCGATTCTGTTGACTGGACTGGGTGATACATGGGGTGAAAAATTGATTTGTCCCTGTTCAGTCAGGGAAGATGCTGTTTTGCTGCTGTTTTGGAGCAGCAAAACTTCCCTTGGCAAGGGATATAGTGAGTATTTATGATGTGGTATTTGAAGAGAGGCATTATGGCTCTAAAGAGACCAGGAATTATGTTCCTCTCTTTGTACCCTCTGAAATATTGCCTCTAATCCTGCACAAGGCTGCATCCCAGTACTGGTGAGTTGTGGGGAGCAGGTGGAGGGGGGAAGCACGTTGCTGCTGCAGCACACCTGAGCTAAAATAGTTCAAACTTCAATATTAGCCCCAAATTATTACTGTTAAAAGGTGCAGATCTATCAGAACCTCTTTCCTGCTGTGTAAAGAGCTGTTAACTGCTTATGCATTTGGTTGGTTATGTAGAAAGCTGCTTAAGAGTTTTAAATGGCTGTCTGGCAAGTGTTGAAGGGGAAGCTTTTTGCTTAAATCATAACTTCTAGGCACACTCTTTGTCTGTTCCTCTCTGCCCATGCCAGTAGAGTGGTGGCACAGCACCTAGCACACTTACATAAAGATGAGAAGCTGCAGATGAGCTCTTGAAGTAGATGTTAAAGTGCAAACCTCTGCGATGCTCTTATAGAAGAATCAGGCTGTTTCATGCCACCTAAGGAGCTTCCAGTGACAAGTTCTGCATGTGTGAAGACTCTGGTGGAGAGTCTTCAGCCATTTCTCAGCCACTTCCCTGCTAAAGAAAAAGATCCACTCTCTTTAAAACCTTCCTGCTACCTGAAAATAGTATCCTCCACCTGAATATCTCCAGACTGTTGCTCTTCTGTGGTCTATTCAACACGAGGTTTTGGGCCTGTGGGCAGTTTCATGTCTCAGATCTTGCTTGTGGGGTTGTAATCTGGGAAAGGGAAGGAGCAAATGGATCATGGAAACTGAATTTGTGCCCTAAAAAGGGGAATTTCCTAAATCTAGGTTAAGGTTTGACAGCAGGAGGATGGGGCAAAAAAAATCAAACCCCAACAAAACCTTGTGTTGTTTTTACTCTGGGTTGTAACTCTCTGGATAGAAGACTTCAGTTAGGGCTGTCACTTCTTCCCTGGGTACAATGACAGGTAATACTCTGAAAAAGAGCTGCCTAACATATCTCTGAGGAGTATTGAAGTGACTCCAACCCTCTGCCTGTCTGGCAGTTATCCAAACTGTTCAGGGGAATAATAAAGAATTTGAAAAGCTCTGGACTGGATGATCTTTTGGACACACAACCTGATGTGACCAGGGATTGCCAGTCAGTGCTGTTTGATTTAAAACCACTCCTTCTTACACTTAATTTACTTACTGAATCATTGGAAGGAATCCTCCCTTACTTTTACCTCCTTTTTATTTTTTTTATTTCCACTTCCCTCAACCAATTTTCCATGTTTCATAATTTTTTAATTTTTCTTTTTTTAAAAGAAAATCTTGGTTCTTTCTGCACTGTTTGCAGGAGAACGGAGCCAGCACGATCCTACGCGACATTGCCAGAGCCAGGGAGAATATCCAGAAATCGCTGGCCGGAGTGAGTACCCAAGCTCTCTCACACCAGCTGGCTCTACCCTGCAATCATTTTTAGCTGTGGTTCATCTCACAGAACTTCACTGTGACCACTTCATAGATTGTGTGGCTTCTTAGTTGTTGTTTTTTTTTTTAAGTTAGAGAAGAAGACTTAAGGTGTGCAGCGCTGTGTACCACCAGCATAGCTCCATCTGATCAACAACACCATTACTACTAGAGTAGTATTAGTAGTAGTAGTAGAATGCTGCTTTACCTGCTTGCTAGCCTGTAGTGCTTTTATAAAACTAACTGGATTTGGGTTAAAATTCTTCAACTGTGCATTTCTTTGTGGAATGTTTCCATAAGTTTTATCTAACAAGTTATGATGAGTCATTGTTAAAATAACATTTGCTGGGTAGCAAAGCCTTGAGCTGCCAGCAGGAGTATGTCTCACGTGGGGTACACTGGGCTGCCACCTTTTCTTTCCTGTTTTGCTTTCAAGTTAGGGTATGTGCAAAAAAATGGTATTTTTTCCATCTGCTGCATCTAGGGAATCCAACTTGGCTACTAGCTCTTTAAGTCTTGACCATCTTGTAGGAGTTGAGTAACATCCTTTCTGGAGGTGTTTTTGTGCTGATACCACTGTTAAAACTCTGAATTTTTCAAGAGGAAGCCAAGATCTTAAATTAATAAGTGGACTGGTTTAATGGGTGAAGAAAAATCCCAGAATATCTTGATTTCTTAACCTCTGCAGTGGAACTACAACATTCCTGCCACCTACCTTCCATCTGAGGGTATCCATCCTTTATCTACAGTGATTTGGCCTCATAACTCCCTCTTTGGGGTATTTAACACCCTTAGTTTCTATCTAGATCAGTACAATAACATGGAATTGAGCCTTTCTCACGGGGAATATTTCACATTTCTCCTTAAAAGAAGCAGAAAGCTGTAAATTTGGGGTGAATGTAGAGGAATTAGGCTAATTGCTTTCCCTCTGGTGGTCTCACTGTGCCTGTTGAACACAAAAGCAACTTCTGCAACCACTAAGATACTCAGTACAGCACTGGAAACTTGGAAGTGGATGTAGGAAGAGCGAGGAAAATTTGATAGAAGGATTAAATTTGGTTAGATTCAGTGGTCCCTAATACAATATGGGAATGGCTGGAAAGCTGGGACATCTTAGTAATATTAAAAACAAACCAAAACATGTTGAGGAGGAAAATATTTGTCAGTTTTTTTTAAATGCTAGTTTCTTACTTCAGTATCAGTATTTCAGCCAACAGCTTAGGGAAGATTTTCCTGAAGTGTTTAATTTAAGTGCAGATCTGAAAGATGATGTTTGACCTTTCAGTAGAGACTATCAGCCCCTGTCCAAGACTTTTAGTTTGGACTTTAGTAAGACAAATATGTAGGGAAATGAGCCCCCATCCTAAACAGAGCTGGAGAACTCTTCACACAGGTAGTGTTAAATGCCTTTGGAAAGTCCTTCACTTGTTGGGGTGAGTTGTGAATATAAAAAATTAATCTACTCTCTTTTTTTGTTGTTTTTTTTTTTTGTTCCTGTGAAGGAAACTTGGTGGGCTTGAGGATTTAAGGTCAGGACTGAGACGTAGGGCCTTAAAACTGGTATCTGGGGTGTTGCAAAAAGTGGATTGTGACTCCCCTGAAGGTTTTTCTGTGTTAATATGTGAGGTAGAAAGACTGAGCTGTTGAGAAAGAAGTCTGAAACCTCAGTTTTTGTAGCTTGTGTTACTGAAGGATTGTAATTAATCTTGGACAGCTGTGGCATAAAGCAGATTTAACTTCAGAACGTGCTTAAACTTTGTTTTTATGTTTCAGAAAGCCAAATTTACACCGTGTGATCTACAGAGCAATAGCAAAACACGTTTTTATAGTCAGGATTTAGCTTTTCCTTCCACCTGAACATGCAGAGTTATTATCAGGAGTCTAAAGATGTAGGAAGTGAAGAGTTGACTCTTAGAGGATGGGAAGATCTTTTGCTGTGACATTCAGCCAAGGCTGGTTTCAGATCTCCTTCAGCTGGATAGTGTTGTCCTGACATGTGTGAATGAGCACTGGAAGGGTTGAGGCAACGTTTGTACCTCCCAAAGGAGGGTCCCAAAGCTCTGATGCTGGAAACATTTGTTTGCACATACCTTTCACCTCGCTTTGCATGGTCATCTCTGCTTTAAACAATCTCTCCAGTTGACATCTGCTCCATCGCTAACGCTTTCCTAGATGAGTTGTTCACGTGTGCAGTACTTCAGCTGGTGGCATTGAGACCACAGGTGGTGAGAAGTCTCCCAGCTGGGGACCTGAGGCACAGGAAGGATTGACTTGCCTGAGATCATAAGCAAGTCCAACACAGCTGGGTGACTGAACTCTCATTTCCTACCCCCTCCCGTGGGGTGGAAACGAAGGGGATGTCACTGGGTAGGTGGCTCTTGGGGGAGTTTGAAGCTCTGTTATTCCCCTTCCTGTCCAAGCTCCCTCTTGGGAGCACAGAACCTCTGTGTTTGTGTGTTTCTTGTGTATGGGTGTCAAACAAGAAAAGCTCCCAGAAAACTTCTGGTCATAGAATGGTATGGACTGGAAGGGACCTTAAAGCTCATCCAGTCCCAACCCCCCTGCCATCAGCAGGGACACCTTCCACTAGACCAGGTTGCTCAAAGCCTCGTCTAACCTGGCCACAAACACTTCCAGGGAGGAGCAGCCACAGCTTCTCTGCCCAACCTGGGACACTGGCTCACCACCCTCACACCAAAGAATTTCTCCCTCACATCTCAGCTCCATCTCCCCTCTGACACTTTCAAGCCATCACCCCTTGTTCTGTCACTCCCTGCCCTTGGCCAAAGTCCCTCCCCACCCTTCCTGGAGCCCCTTCAGGTACTGGGAGGCTGCTAGAAGGTCTCCCTGGAGCCTTCTCTTCTCCAGGCTGAACAGCCCCAACTCTCTCAGCCTGTCCTCACAGCAGAGCTGCTCCAGCCCTCGCATCATCCTGGTGGCCTCCTCTGCACTGGCTCCAGTATGTCCCTGTCCTTCTGTTGTTGGTGGCCTCAGAACACTGATCTCACTAAGGTGTTTGGAGGCCACATTCAGAAAGGCAACTGTGTGCAGGGAATGGTCACACCTTCTGTCAGAAACCAGCCAGGATCCATCCTGCTGGTCTTAGGCAGGGGAAAGCCTCTTTTATTACTTCAGCATCATTTCCCCGCAGTTTTGTGTATCTGACCATGGCTAAGCTCTCCCTGTTTCCAGAGGTAGACCAACCTGAGGGGAAGGATGTTGTATCTCAGCATTCATGAAATAAGTTTATTTTTTTGAGATGAAGTTCTGAGTGATTTGTGGGCTCTGGAGTGGAAAAACCTACACCTCACATCTGTAACTGAGCTTGTAAAATCTACAGGGTGTCCTTTGTAACTGGTGAACTCAAATAAAAGGAAAAGGGTTGATATCTCCAGATACTTGTCGTAGTGAGGGAAGTGCCAACTCTGCAGCTGTGCCCATTGGTGAGGCTCCTAGCTGTAGTTGTCCAGATATCTTTCAGCTGATACGTAGAAATATGACCTCTTTAACTTCTTCCTCAGTCAATCATAGAATGGTTTGGGTTGGCAGGAACCTTAAAGATCATCCAGTCCCAACCCCCCTGCCATCAGCAGGGACACCTTCCACTAGACCAGGTTGCTTAAAGCCTCATCCAGCCTGGCCTTCAACACTTCCAGGGAGGGGGCATCCACAGCTTATTGGGCAACCTGTTCCAGTGTCTGACCACCCTCACAGTGAAGAACTTCTTCCTAATATCTCATCTAAACCTCCCCTCTTTCAGTTTAAACCCATTTCCCCTTGTTTTATCATTAGTTGTCATTTTGAAAAGTCCTTCCCCATGTTCCCCAAATGTTCTTGTCTCTGCTTTTTAAAGTATGTTTTAGAGAGTCAAAATATAGAGAGGTCCAGATACTGAAAGCTCTTTGAAGCTAGATTCTATTTTTGTAGAATCATAGTGGTTGGAAAAGACCTTGAAGATTGAGTCCAACCATGAACCCAACACTGCCAACTCCACCTCTAAACCATGTCCCTAAGCACCACATCTACCTGTCTTTTAAATACCAAAACAACCCCAAATAAGGTAGAAATCTACCCATTATAAGCAGGAAGTCCTAGTGTTTTAATTTACTGGGATAATTAAATTTATATGCAGTCCTTGGTGTGGTTCTAGGCTTGTTGAGTGCCTCTGCTATGCAAAATAGTTAGAATAGGTTGCCACGGTGGTCAGTGTATCACTAATGAGGGTTCAGCACAAAAACTATGGCTGAAGCTTAGAAAAAACAAAGATCTTTAGATGATCTTTAAGTTCCCTTCCAACCCATACCATACTATGAGCTCCATCCATGAGATGGTGCATCTGAAGTGACTGAAATGATGATCTCGAACTCCAGACCTTTGGGATTTTGGATTAATGTCCTTCATAAAATTCACAAACACTTGTGTCGAGCTGCTCTTGGCACAGTTGAGTCAGAAAATGAAATAGCACTTGGTTTTGCGTTGAAAAAAACACACTGTAGGCAGCATGTAGCTTAGGTTGGTGACCACATCTCTGGCAGCTTGAGACATCCTAGTCTGATGAGTTCCAGGCTGAGGGAACTGGGGTTGTTGAGCCTGGAGAAAAGGAGGCTGAGGGGAGACCTTGTGGCTCTGTCCAAGACCCTTGGAGGAAGGTGGAGAGAGGTGGGGGTGGGTGTGTTCAACCAAGGACCAAGTGACAGGACAAGAGGAAATGGGCTCAAGTTGCCCCAAGGGCAGTTGAGATGGGATGTGAGGAAGAATTTCTTTGCTGAAAGGGTTCTGAGGCATTGGAAGGGGTTGCCCAGGGCAGTGGTGGAGTCCCCATCCCTGGAGGGATTGAAGAGTCGTGTAGACATAGTGCCGAGGGCCATGGGTTAGCTGGGGACTTGTCAGTGTTGGGTTCATGATGGGACTCAATGATCTTAAAGGTCTTTTCCAATCAAGGCAATTCTGGGATCCTCACTTCAGGGCAAACCCCCCAGTCTCCTAAAGGCAACTTTTCCACAATTTCTGAAAGTGTGGCTTGACCATCTAAGACCTTCAATCTCTTGTTTGCTTAAGCTTGGGGTAAGCAACCCTCTATTGCCAGCAAAAGATGGCTGTGCTCAGGCTCACCCTGCCCTGAGGTTGCCTAGGACTAAAAATATATCGGAATTCCAGCAGATGTTGATTTAAACGCTGCTCTGAGCCGTGTCTGGAAGCACATTGAGCCCCCACTGTGTTGTAAACCTCCCTTTTAAACACTTGTGCAAAATACAACACGGAGGAGCAAGTGAATCCTGGTTTAGGATCAGCTCAGCGTAGGTGATATCCTGAATCCATCCATCCAGGTGCACAACACTGAACTAGTCACCGAAATTTTGTGGGTGTTGAACCTGTAGGTTGTTCATTAATCTTGTCATTTCTACAGAGACCTGAGAAGCAACTTGTAGATGAGAAATCATAGAATGGATTGGGTTGGAAAGGACCTTAAAGATCATCCGGTTCCAACCACCCTGCCATCAGCAGGGACACCTTCCACTAGACCAGGTTGCTCAAAGCCTCATCCAACCTGGCCACAAACACTTCCAGGGAGGAGCAGCCACAGCTTCTCTGCCCAACCTGGGACACTGTCTCACCACCCTCACACCAAACAATGTCTTCCTCACATCTCAGCTCCATCTCCCCTCTGACACTTTCAAGCCATGACCCCTTGTTCTCTCACTCCCTGCCCTTGGACAAAGTCCCTCCCCACCCTTCCTGGAGCCCCTTCAGGTACTGGGAGGCCACTAGAAGGTCTCCCTGGAACCTTCTCTTCTTCAGGCTGAACAGCCCCAACTCTCTCAGCCTGTCCTCACAGCAGAGCTGCTCCAGCCCTTGGATCATCCTGGTGGCCTCCTCTGGACTGCCTCCAGTAGGTCCATGTCCTTGTGCGGTTGGTGGCCCCAGCACTGGATGCAGCACTGCAGATGGGGTCTTAGTACAGTAGAGGGGCATCATCTCATCCTGGAGGTGAGATGACTTCCCACCCAGATATCTGCACTGCAGCTCCTCAAGCACCTGTCCTACCTGTATCACCACATCCTGATGGACACACACACGCTTAAATACTCAGTACTGAGAACGCTGAGTCTCCTCTGGGCTTCATTATCTTTATTTGCAATCTTCACCTTGTCTCACCTGCAGGTTCAATGCAAGTTGGCAAAGGAAGGGTGAAAAGGGAAGGAATTTGGGTGCTGTAGAGCTCTGCTTTGCTCTGTGCAGTTCCTTGGGTGCTACACAACACTCTACAAGCAGCACAGTTTGTATCCTGGGTTTTTATACCACTCAAAAGATCTGTTGCAGTAACAAAAAGTTGTATTTCCATGTTCTGGCACCTTCATGCAGAGGAAAGCGTTTCAAAGTCTTCTCATCTTGCTCTTGCAAGCCACATCTACACTGTTTTTTTTTGGAAAATAACTGATTTTCTCCAGCTCTTCTCCTGAATGATACAACCACACAAGGCTGGCAGGTTTGTGTTGAGCTGGAGGCCTCCTGCCAAGCTGTAGATGTTTTTCTTGTGGGACTGCAGGGAGGAGAAGCGCTGACCCTACTCCATGTGAGATTCCAGGATGGCAGCTGATGAGTGTAAAGGTAGATGGTACCACCTCCATTTAAATTTCTTATCTTTGAGAGGTTTTTACTCACAGGGAAGAGAAGGGTGGAGGTGCCACGTGCATCCACTCACCCTGAGAGCCAGGGTTTCAAAGCGAGCTGTTCTACAACACCGAGTAGGTGCAGCCATCTTGCAGCTTCTTGAATATCCATGGTGTGTGCAGGATGGAATCATCGAATGTTGTGAGTTGGAAGGACCCACAAGGATCATGGAGTCCCTGCACAGGACAAGCCCAACATTCACACCATGTCCCTGAGGGCCTTGGCCAAATGCTGCTGGGATCTTGTCAGGCTTGGTGCCATGAGCACCTCCCTGGAGAGCCTGTTCCAGTGCTCCACCACCCTCTGCCTCAAGAACCTTTTCCTCATGGCCAACCTTGATAGTCAGGTGCCAGGGCAAACGCAGAGTCTGCTGAAATGCTTCTGCATCTGGCTTGGAAATGTGACTAGGAAACATGACTTTCTCACTACAGGAAAGATGTTGAGGTGCTGGAGTGTGTCCAGAGAAGGGCAACGGAGCTGGGGAAGGGTCTGGAGCACAAGTGTGCTGAGTTCCCAGCTGAGGGAACTGGGGGTGTTGAGGCTGGAGAAAAGGAGGCTGAGGGGAGACCTTCTGGCTCTCTCCAGCTCCCTGAAAGGAGGGTGGAGAGAGGTGGGGGTGGGTGTGTTCAACCAAGGCCCAAGTGATAGAACAAGAAGAAATGGCCTCAAGTTACAGCAGGGGAGGTTTAGATTGAATCTGAGGAAAAACATCTTCACCCAAAGGGTGGTCAAGCATTGGAACAGGCTGCCCCGGGAGCTGGTGGAGTCACCTTCCCTGGTGGGATTTAACAGGCGGGTGGACGAGGTGCTGAGGGACATGGTTTAGAGGCGGAATTGCCAGTGTTGGGTTTATGGTTGGACTCCATGATCTTCAAGGTCTTTTCCAACCACTGTGATTCTTCAAACTGCCCAGTCTCTGTGGTGCTTACTGCTTTGGGAAAAGAAAATTTAAACAAAATCTGTGTATCTCTTTGCAGGTGACACAACTTCTGTGTTTGATCACGAGTTGAAACAAGATGTGACTATTGCCAGAATTCACTTCTCACTGAATTATCTTAAACCTTGGTCCTGGTGATGTAACTAGAATAGAAAGAGGTCAACCAAGGAGTTAATCTGAGCTTTAATTTTTGTCCTTGGTTAAGGACTAGCTTGGTGTGATGAGCCCACCATGGTTAGCAGCCTCTATTCTGGTGGTGCACGTGAGGATGGAAGCCCATGTAGGGGTCTCATCAAGTTCTTAGTGCAGATGAGTAACTAGAGAGTTACTCCTCTCTAGGAGAGACTCCTTAATGGTACTTGAGGATTTAATGAGAATTTCCATAGCTTTGCTCATGATTCTGCATCTCTTGGGTATTAGGTTTTTATCTAATGATGGGAGAGCTAGCAGAGGCTGAGACCATGCTGTAGACATCTCAGCTTAGTTCTACCACCCAGCTGGGTGACCTTTTTACAGGCAATGAGCTGTTTTAACGAGAAGATGACAAGAGTTTGTGGATCGTTGTTTCTGTGTGGGCTTTGTTCAGTGTGTAGTTGGTGTGAGGCTTTATCTCATGGCTTGATAATTTGTCCTGCATGTGGATCTGCTTCCTTGCACTTGAACTGCCTCTTCCAGCATGAGTGGAATCATTTTCCATCTTCCATATTGAACCAAACATCCCCCAAACCTTTTACCCTTTGCAGCAGAAGACAGTTCCACGTAGTAAAGAAGCTCCTTCTGCCCGTCACAAGAGGCAGTCAGGCCGCTCAACTGTAAGTCACCTGTGCACGGATGGAGCTGGTTGTGTGATTCAAGATGATGTTGGAGGGCAAGGACAACCTTGTCTTGGAGAGATGGACCAAGTTGTCATGGTCATAGCTCACCCTGTATAACAGGATCTTCTACCAGGGCATTTAGGGTCTCCCAGTTTGGTGTCCAGAAGCTGCAGATCTGGACTCAGCATTCCTGAGCCTGCATCCCATGAAAAGGCTGCGTTGGAGATGGATCTCATGGTGCTTTTGCCTCTCTTGGAATGGGTGGAAAAGGGTCTCTTTGACCTTACTAGGAGCAACTCACACTGCTCCATGTCTCCCTCAGGGTCAGGCATCTTCCAGACCTACTTTCCATGTGCCATGTATTCCTCATCTTACCCCCCTGTATGTCCCTCTCTCCATCTTAAGTGACAGCTGAGATCTCAGGAGCCGAGAATCACGTTATAATGACACGCAGGGTGCACTTGGAAGAGGAGAAATTCTTTATTGTCTTCAGTTATAAATGACATTGAAAACAAAATGTCAAAACCTCTTTATTTTCTTTCCCTGTAATGATTGGAATTTCTAGATAAAGGATTCCTTAAAAAAATAAGAAAGAAAGAAAAGAAAAATAGAGTAAGTTCTCTTTTGCTGTTTAAAACAAATACTTTGGAAGCTGGATGGGTGTAATTGCTCCCTCAGGATGTGTTAAAGTAGATTTAAATTTTGTAATTTCTAAGAGGAAGGGCTCAGCATGAAACTTCCAAACTTTTTTATTTGTTTGGTGGCAGTTTGTGATCCGAGACTGCGGAGAATGAATTTCTCCTTTGCACATCAGCGCCAGCTGAAATTGCTCGAGAGAAATTCCCCCTCTTCATTCTATACAACTAGAATTCTTTTTTTATAAAGCCTTTAGAGAAAATATCCTTGGTTTTGTTTTTAGCTCTTAAATTTTCTGCATCCCTGAAGTCATAACCCTGCTTTTTTGCTTCACTGAACCACTGAGATTTGGAGTAGGTGAACAGATTTGTTTCATCTTGGTTTTTCCTTGTTGCAGAGTGCGAACGCAACCTCTTCTGGACCTACTGGTGACCAAAATGAACTCCTTTCCAGAATTTCTCACCTGGAGGTAGAAAATCAAAACCTTCGCAGTGGTAAGTAAGAGAATCTGTTGAAAAAGGTGGAAGCAAAACTGGATGGGGTCCTGCTTCTGTGGGTTTTATCCCTTCCTGAGTTTGTCTGGCACCAGGTGAGCCAGTGTCTTCATCAGAGCTTTGCAGGTTTCTCTCTGACTGGGACAACTGGTGGTTTTTAAAGTCCACTTTGAGCATGAGCAAATTTATCCTGACTTAAGAGCTGATGCAGAGCCTACAAGATAAGGTTTGTTTATTTATTTTCCCTTTATTCTCGCAGTTGTTGCAGACCTTCAGATGGCCATCTTCAAGTTGGAAAGTCGCCTGAATGCTCTGGAAAAGTCATCTACCTCCCACCAGCCCTCACCGGTTCCTCCAACCCAGGTGAACCTTAGCAAAGTGCTGTTCTTAAATGCTTCATGGTCATCAAGTGCCAGGTCGTTTCCTGGATCAATGGGCCAGGACCAACTGTGTGAGGTTCAACAAGGCTCAGTGCCGGGTCCTGCACTTGGCTCACAACAACCCCATGCAACAAAAACTACAGGCTTGGGGGGGAGGGGCTGGGTGGAACATCTCTCCTTGAAGAATGGCTGAGAGAGTTGGATTTGTTCAGCCTGAAGAAGTGGAGGCTCCAGGGAGACCTTAATGTGGCCTTTCAATATGTAAAGGGGGCTTATAAGAAAGAGAGAGAAAGACTTTTTACCAGGGCCTGTAGTGACAGGACAAGGGGTAGTGCTTTTAAACTGAAAAAGGGTAGATTTAGATTAGATACAAAGAAGAAATTTTTTACAATGAGGGTGGTGAGACACTTGCCCAGGTTGCCCAGAGAGGTGGTAGAAGCCCCATCCCTGGAAACATTCAAGGGGAGGCAGGATGGGGCTCTGAGCAACCTGATCTAGTTGAAGATATCCCTGCTCATGACAGAGGCTTGGACTAGATGACCTTCAAAGGTTCCTTCCAAACCAAACCATTCCATGATTCTATGATGTGTGGAATTTGGAGTTCATATACACTTGGTTCCTATTTAGCCCGCGGTGCTGGGAGTTTCTTAGCGGGCATCAGGTTAAATGCCACTTGGTTACCATAGATAAGAAGCAGAATTGGTGACACTTTCTAAACGAAATGTCCCCTCTAAGGCTGGATTGAATTTCATGGAAGTGAAAACTCTGTGGGAGCTGAATAGGTGGCACCAATTTGATCAATTCTTGTAGGCTGGAAGATCATGGAATGGTTTGGATTGGAAGGGACCTTAAAGCTCATCCAGTTCCAACCCCCCTGCCAGCAGCAGGGACACCTTCCACTAGACCACGTTGCTCA